CTCCTTCTCCTTCTCCTTCTCCTTCTCCTTCTCCTTCTCCTTCTCCTCCTCCTCCTCCTCCTTCTCCTTCTCCTTCTTCCCCTTCCCCTTCTTCCCCTTCCCCTTCCCTTTCCCTTTCTCCTTTTCTCTTTCCTTTCCTCTCCTTCCTTCAGACACTGGAAGGAAATACTTCCTCAGATACCTCCTCTCATAATCCAGCCTCCTTTTCCCAGAAGAACCATGGAATCAGCAGACTTTTTTGTCCATGAGAGTGCCACAGCACTATTATTACAACCTTTTTTCATATTCCAAACCATTCCCACAGTCCTTTACATTCATTTAACAGATCAACAGAAAAACTCTTGGTATTGGCTGAACATCAATTGATTGACATTTATTTACAGTCATGGTTTTTTGGGATGTAATTCCTTCCCTGATATTTAATCAAGTCTACCTGAACTCATCTCCATCCCACCACAAATGTAACACCATCCAGAGCCAGAGCTGCCCTGGATCCATGAAGATTTTTTGATGTGAGATCACAAATATTCCTGTTGTTTCCCATTTCAGCCTCTGGAAGTGGTGGTAGATCCCAGAACTTCAAACCCATGGAGATATTTCTCTGTGCATCTCCTATCCCCTGTGAACCTGCCATCCCTTTCTAAGAGCCATTTATATCTCCTTTGTTTTCCATGGAACAAATGTCTTGCTCCAGTAGAAACATTCCATAATTTACCAGGGAGAAATGCAGATCAGAGGCTTGCTAAAAAAACAGGGAAGCTTTTACTCCCAGAATTCCTTTTCCTCTAAATAATAGACCCCCCCCCCCTTTTAGTCATATTTATTTAATTTCTTTGGGTCTTATTCATAAGCACAAGTTCCTTCCTTCCTTCCTTCCTTCCTTCCATCCTTCCTTTCTTCTCTCCTTCCTTCCTTCCTTCCTCCCTCCCTTCCTTCCTTCCTCCTTCCTTCCTTCTTTTCTTCCTTCCCTCCCTCCTTCCTTTCTTCCTTCTTTCTTTTCCCCCCCCCTTATTTCTTATTTTCCCCTCTATCTCCTGACAAGAACCACTGAACTTATGGACACTGACGATTTTCCTTCTCTTCCTGTGATTCCCAGGGCAACAAAATCAACCCCCTCCTCCTCTTCCAGACTCTGCCTTTCGGGAACAGGAACCCTTCCAAACTCCTCACTCCCAGGGGGTTGGGAAATCCTCATTTCTCAGCAGAAACTCCCTCAAATTCTTCCTCAATTGCTTTGAGAACGACCCTCAGGAGCTTCACACATCGTTAGTGCCCTTCCTCCAGCACCGTTCTCCAATTTCTAATCGATTTAAACATTATTCTCTCCTTCTCTTATCGAGTTTAACTCAATTTTACCCATTAAAGCTTCAACTTAACGCGGCTTTTGGCTCCTTTTTAACAGCAGCATCACTTTCTGGAACCTCTTTCACTCCTGTCACTCTCAGCACCTTAAAATCCCCCATTTTTTTCCCCCCAGGCTGCTGCAGTTCCACCTCCACGACTTTCCAAAGCTCTTTTCATCCCCCCCGGGGACATTTTTTATAATGAATTTTGCTTCTGGCACGTCACAGCTCCGTTATCACTTCGAGCCAAGGAGGCTCCAGTGCCAGAGTTTGGAGAGAAAACAACAACTTTCAGGGAACAGAACGGAGCGGCCGCTTCCAAGTGACTCATTTTGGGCCGAGGTAAAACTGCACCACACACAGAAGAGCTAAAAATATTGACCAGGAGAATCTCCAGTGCACTTTCCTCTGTCCTGGGACCTCAAAACCTTGGCCTGGAGGTGGAAAAAGGGTCCAGGGTCAGTGCAAATTATTCGTAAAGTCAGACTTCAAAGGGAAAAGCTCTTCAGTGCCACTGGCGTCTCTCAGAATTTGTGATTATGGAGATACAGGAGGTGGTGAAGTTTGGGACCAAAACCTGACATGGAGAGTTCTTGGTCCATCTTCTCCACAGCTGAAGGGAAGGGATCCCCTTTGGAATTCCTGATTCCCCTTGGCTGTGCATTTTGGACTTTCCCAGGTCCCCTGGTGGGAATCTGGGCTTCCCTTTCCCCACCTCCCTCCAAGCTTTTGGGCAGATCCCTCCGGTGTGGTCCTGGCACACCCGGGGCACGTTTGGGCCTTGGAAATAATGATAAATAAATGATAGAAACTCCTTTTTGCTTTCCTTGGATCCTCCTGGCTGCCCCATTCCACGGCAAGGTTCTCCTGGAATCCCTGCTCACCTGATCCTCCTGCACTGGGCAGGGCAGGGGGTTAAAGAGCTCCCCTGCTATTTGGGGGCTCCTCTGCTATTTGGGGGCTCCTCTGCTATTT